CCTATCACTTCAGTGTGAGTAATTTTTTAAAAATCTCCCATTGATTAGTTTCACGCTGTAGTCAAGAATCTAACCAAAGATAGAATTTGGTTAACTTCAAAGTAGGGACCAGATTTAGTAATAGAGAATAAAGCCCTTCTTTGTTACGTTACAGCCCACGAGTTAATCCAAAAAGGTCTGGTGGGCTTAGTTACAGATAGGAAAAGGAATTTAGCTAGATTTTTAAAAATATTTTTATGTAGGCAGGCCAGGTCATGTTTATCTAAGGATTCTCTAATTGGATGCCATAAAGTGACACACTTAATGTGAGCTGCAATGTAAGAATGAAATGACAAAATGAAGCAGAACAAGATAACTTAGAAGTGGGGAGAATAAAAATTAACTGAAGATAGTTAACCCCAAAACATTACTTATTTGAAATCAAGTCACATAATTGCACTTGGAACCTGGTATATTGCTCAATTTTTGTCTAATTGCTGTAGCTTGCTTACAGATAAACAGTCAGAATATGTTTGAACCCAGATAGTCATTTAATGAGTGTAACAATGATAAGCAATTAAATTATTTGCAACTTTGAAAAGTTGGTTAGGCATAGTTGCCTTTTGAAAATCATTTTCCCTTGAAAACTCAATAATACTGTTTAAAAATACACAAGGCATTACATGTTTGCTTGCATTATAATCACAGTTTCATGTTCACACACCTTATCAAAAATCCAACACCAACACTGTATCAACAGTGCAATATGAGAGGAAATTTGGCAAACATTAGATATATTCAATTGTTGCAGTGGTTTAAGTCAATTCACACAGAAATAGGAAGTAATTTTTTTGACATCTCCTTATCAATGAATTAGAGCTGAAACACAAAAAGAATCTAAGAAGTTTCAGGGCAGGGGTGGGCACGGTAGCTCACACCTGTAATCACAAGCTGGGAAGCCAAGATAGAAGGATTCCTTGATCCCAGGAGTTCAAGACCAGCCTGGGCAACATAGGGAGGCTCCCGTCTCCACACACACACACAAAATTAGCCAGGCATGATGGCTCACACCTGTAGTTCTAGGTACTTGGGAGGCTTAGATGGGAGGACTGCTTGAACCTGGGAGGTCAAGGCTGGAGTGAGCCATGGTCATGCCATGCACTCCAGCCTGGGTAACAGAGCAAGACTCTATCTGAAAAAGAAAAAGAAATAAAAGGGAAGAAAAGAAAAGAAAGAAAAGAGGAAGGAAGGAAGGAAGGAAGGAAGGAAGGAAGGAAGGAAGGAAGGAAGGAAGGAAGGAAGGAAGGGAGGGAGGGAGGGAGGGAGGGAAAAAGTTGTGGCAAAGGAATAAAGTGTGTAATATTCTTGAGCTAGATATTACTCCAATGATTGGGAAGAGTAAGTAGTCAAATAATGAGACTGAATAAACATGTTGCCAAAATACATAACTGCAGTTTTTACTTCAGATCTGAGAACATTGGGGATCCCTCCCCCATAACATTTATTGTGAGAATATGTAATAGTGATACTACTGATTTTTCTTCACTTTATTTATTTATTTTTCTTGAAAGGAAGTCTTGCTCTTGTCCCCCAGGCTGGAGTGCGGTGGCACGATCTTGGCTCACTGCAACCTCTGCCTCCTGGGTTCAAGTGATTCTCCTGCCTCAGCCTCCTGAGTAGCTGGGATTACAGGTGCCTGCCACCACGCCTGGCTACTTTTTCTATTTTTAGTAGAGATGGGGTTTCACCATGTTGGCCAGGCTGGTCTTGAACTCCTGACCTCACGTGATCTGCCCACCTTGGCCTCCCAAAGTGCTGCGAATACAGGCGTGAGCCACCATGCCTGGCCTTTCTTCACTTTTTTTTTAACTAACATTTTTATTTTAGTAGTTGTAGATTTACTGAAGTATTGCAGATAATAGAATTCTTCTAACCCCATCCCCAGTTTCCCCTATTAAAGCTTATATTAGTATGATACATTTGTCACAATTAATGAATCAATATGGGCACATTACAGCCGAAAGGGGCGTGGTGGCTCACACCTATAATCCCAGGATTTTAGGAGGCGAAGGTGGGCAGATCACTTGAGGTCAGGAGTTCAAGACCAGCCTGGCCAACATGGTGAAACCCTGTCTCTACGAAAAATACAAAAACTAGCGGAGTGACGCACACTTGTAATCCCGGCTACTCGGGCAGGCGGGCAGGAAGGTGCTGAAGTGAAAAGATCGCTTGAACCCAGGAGGCAGAGGTTGCAGTGAGCCAAGGTCACACCACTGCACTCCAGCCTGGGCTACAGAGCGAGACTCCATCTCAAAAAAAAAAGAAAGAAAAGATACATTAGTGAAATTCTATACTTTATTCAAATTCCTCCATTCTCGCCCAGTGCCCTTTTTCTGTTCTAGAATCCCATCCACATGCCACGTGACATTGTATCATCATGTCTCTTGACTTTGACAATCTGTCAGACTTTGTGTTTGATGGCCTGATAGTTTGAGGAATACTGATCAGGTATTTTGTGGAGTATCACTCAATTGCGGTTTGTCTGATGTGTTTCTCATGATCATGCTGGGGTACAGGTTTTCAGAAGGAGAAGCAAAGTTCCATTTTCATCACATCATATCAAGGGTACACACTATCAGCGTGACTTATCACTGCTGAGGTGGACCTTGATCAACTGGTTGAGGTGGGTGTGGGCAGACTTCTCCACTGTAAAGCTGCTCTTCCTCCTCTCCTCCTTTCCACAGGGTAATCTTTGGAAGGAAGTCACTATATGTAGCCCACACTGAAGAGTAGACAGTTTTCTTCCCCTCTTTGAGGATGAAGTATCTTAAAAACGTACTTGGAATCATTCTGCAAAGATCTCTCTCTTCTGTTTATGCAACCATTTGTGTCAGTATAGACAAAGGGATAGTTTTATACTATGTTATAATGCAATCCTGCTTTACTTTGTTGCTGACATACCCCCATTATTGTAGGGTTTTCTTTTTCTTTTTTTTGAGAGGAAGTCTTGCTCTTGTACCCTAGGCTGGAGTGCAGTGGCGCAATCTCGGCTCACTGCAACCTCTGCCTCCTGGGTTCAAGCGATTGTCCTGCCTCAGCCTCCCAAGTAGCTGGGATTACAGGCGCCTGCCACCACACCTGGCTACTTTTTGTATTTTTAGTAGAGACGGCGTTTCACCATGTTGGCCAGGCTGGTCTTGAACTCCTGACCTCAGGTTATCTGCCCGCCTTGGCCTCCCAAAGTGCTGGGATTACAGGTGTGAGCCACCGTATCCAGCCGGGTTTTCTTTTTCATCGCTTCCTATATTCCTTCTGATATATCACTTTCTTACACTACAGGATGCTCTGGACTTGCATGTTTCCCACTCCAGTCTTAGAATCAGCTGTTTCTCTAAGGAGCTCATTTTTTAAAAAAATTGGACAATGGTATTAGAAACCAAGATCGGCCGGGCACGGTGGCTCAAGCCTGTAATCCCAGCACTTTGGGAGGCCGAGTCGGGCGGATCACAAGGTCAGGAGATCGAGACCATCCTGGCTAACACGGCGAAACCCCATCTCTACTAAAAACACAAAAAATTAGCCGGGCGAGGTGGCAGGCGCCTGTGGTCCCAGCTACTCGGGAGGCTGAGGCAGGAGAATGGCGGGAACCCGGGAGGCAGAGCTTGCAGTGAGCTGAGATCTGGCCACTGCACTCCAGCCTGGGCGACAGAGCGAGACTCCGTCTCAAAAAAAAAAAAAAAAAAAAAGAAACCAAGATCTAGGAAACCGTCGTTCTCAGCAAACTAACACAAGAACAGAAAACCAAACACTGCATGTTCTCACTCATAAGTGGGAATTGAACAATGAGAACACATGGACACAGGAAGGGGAACATCACACACTGGGGCCTGTCAGGGGGTTGGGGGCTGGGGGAGGGAGAGCATTAGGAGAAATACCTAATGTTGATGACGGGTTGATGGGTGCAGCAAACCACCATGGCATGTGTATACCTATGTAACAAACCTGCACATTCTGCACATGTACACCAGAACTTAAAGTATAATTAAAAGTAATAATAAAAACGAGACCTAGGCCGGGCGTGGTGGCTGAAACCTGTAATCCCAGTGCTTTGGGAGGCCAAGGAGGGTGGATCACTTGAGGTCAGGAGTTTGAGACCAGCCTGGCCAACATGGTGAAATCCCATGTCTACAAAAAATACAAAAATTAGCTGGGCATGGTGGTATGTGCCTGTAACCCCAACTACTCAGAAGGCTGAAGCAGGACAATCCCTTGAACCCGAGGTGGAGGTTGCTGTGAGCCAAGATTACGCCACTGCACTCCAGCCTGTGTGATAGTCTCAAAAAAAAAAGAAAAAAAAAAAAAAAAAAGAAACCAAGATGTAGGTTCTAGGTGTACTTGTTGCTGCGGAATAAAACCAAATTATAAATTTTTTTTTAACTGTTACACCAATTCTTGCTTTGCTTTCCTCTGACGACAATATCTCCAGACTAGGACATGCAAGTTAACTGTATGCTATTTTCAACCAAGGATGCTGACGGTGGTCTCGTGCATTATGTGGCCAGATTCGTGAATTGTGACTCCCTTTATGCCAATTATATTTAAAAAATAAATCCCCCAGCTGGGCGCAGTGGCTCATGCCTGTAATCCTAGCACTTTTGGGAGGCTGAGGCGAGTGGATCACGAGGTCAGGCGTTCACAAGACCAGACTGGCCAATATGGTGAAACCCTGTCTCTACTAAAAATACAAAAATTAGCCAGGCGTGGTGGCGTACGCCTGTAATCTCAGCTACTCGGGAGGCTGAGGCAGGAGAATCACTTGAACCTGGGAGGCGGAGGTTGCAGTGAGCGCCACCGCACTCAAGCCTGGGTGACAGAGCGAGACTCCGTCTCAAAAAATAAATCCCTGTCTTAAGTACATACGGGTTCACTGTGGCTCTTCTACAAATGTGTGGAATTGATTTCTCACTAACTGCCCTGATCAGACCCTTTATTGCAGGCAAAGAAGAAAAGCACAACATACATCTTTTAGGCACTTTTTATTTTCCAAAAAAAAATGTCGTTAATATATAAACATCTCATTCTCTCAAAAAATTCTACAACTATACAGCTGTTTGCTCCATTATTTGCATAGGAAATGACCACAATACAAAAATAAGAGGGAAAAAGAAGCAAAACAGCAACCAATTTATGCTTTTCATGTAGGTGTGTTTCCACGTATAAACATTTTGAAGCCTCTTACAAAATTATTTACATCGTTTGTCATCTATTTACATGTTTTAAGAGCAACTTTTCTAACAAACAAAACTATAATTTATCGTTATGAAAATTGTCTTCTAAAAAAACTTACTATATTACCACAAAATAAATAAAGATAAACAATATTTTAAAAACAAAATTAAATTTTCATTTCAATTAAGACCCCTTTTGGCATTTTGCTTATTTATTCTGCCCTTTGGTTAACAGCATCAGCATCACATTACTATTTTATATTGCATATATGTAGCACTTGCTTCCTTAAGTTTTCAACATATCATTTATATTTAAAGGCAGACACTGAGTCAGTATTAAGAGATTAAACTGCACTGTAATTTAGATAAAATTACTGTGTCTCACTGTATATTACATGCAAAATCCACATAAATTGTCATTTAACCAACAGTACTGCAGGAGCGAACATCTTGATATATGAAAACTGCATCATCAATTCAACGTTTCGGTACATGAAACTGCATCGTAAATGCAACATTGTCATATGTGAAAACGACATCATAAGTCCTTCTTTTTAAAAATGACATTGCGTTTAGCTTATTGTAAGAGGTTGAACTTTTGTATTTTGTAACTATCTTTAAGCTCTTCAGTTTATAATTCATATAAAACGCCTTTTGTATTTAAAATAATCCTATTTTAATCAGTGCATGAAATTTGCTTTTTTAAAGTTCATTTGAATGATTATTCCTTCCCTCTAAAGAAATGATTTTGGTAATGTTGAGAGGTATCTTACCACAAATTCTAACTGTAAGTGTATTTACGGTTATTTTCAAAAGAATTATGACTTTTCCCCAAAAGAATCCTAAAAAACTTGTAATAAACCTATAAAGCTGATTTGCATATTTACAAAATTTTGAATAGCAAATATAGGCAACTCATATATGTATATATATTTTAAAAACCCACACATTTGTTCAATGGCTATTTGTGAATTGCCAGGTACACTGTATACCTCTAAGGAATTATCTACTATTGAAAAAAACTACTCAATGCCAAGTAAAATCTTGACATACAATCCATTCTTCTTCTGGTGCCTGCCAACTGATTTGTTTACTGAACACTGTCACATTAAATGACGGTGCCTAGGTAAAAATGCTGCACACACTCCCCTCCACCCCCACCCCTTACCCATGTTGAGATGTGGCTGCCTGTCATGAGATGAGATCTGCTTGAGTAAAGCCATATACATTACAGCAAGCATTCCAGATTCTTAAAATGACCAAACACTTTGGTATTAATACAATGTATTCCCTGTTTTCTCAAATATACAAAATATACATTTCCAGTTTTTGTTGTTTTCTTTTCTTTTTTTTTTTATATATATATATATATAGGAACAGTTAGGTTTGTTGTTTGAAAGGGAGCCTGGGGACCTGGAACGGGTCGGGTGGCATGGGCAGCGCTCAGTTCTGGTGCCTCTTCATGTGCAGGGCCAGGTGGTCGGAGCGCGAGAAACTGCGGTTGCACACCCCGCACTGGAAGGGCTTGGCGCCTGTGTGCTTCCGGTAGTGGCGGGTCAGCTCATCCGATCGCGCGAACCTCCAGTCGCAGCCTTCCCAGGTGCACTTGTATGGCTTTTCACCTGTGACAACGAACAAAGGAGGTGAGGCGGCCTGCTTGTAATGCAAACATCCTAGATAACACTGGAGAAGGAATTTCAAAGAAAAAAAATCTTGGCCAAGCGAAGGAAGGAAAGCTCATGAATTCCATTATGAGTAAATACATATCAAAGCCACTCAGAGTAAGCTAGTTAAGAGTTATTTCTTATAACCTCCAAGTATTTTTTACCTTATAAAGAAAAAAGCATTTTGTGTACCTTTGAACAACTGAAGAAAAGCAATTTTAGGCAAATGCGAAATGATTCAGTGCCCTTATTTTTATGTACTCCTACACACATAAATCCAGGAAATGACTAGATGAGCCTGAGTGGCTTTATCATTATTGTGCAAATACAGTTTCTATACCAACAAACCCAAATTAAATTATTATAGGACTAATGGCTGTAAGGTGGATGAGGGAGGAAAAAATTCAGAAGCTGTTGCACGAATCACCTATACAATGAATTTCATGTACCACAATTGCTTAACCAGAAACTGGTATTAGATGTTTCTAAATTAGCCAGGTTGAAGCTTGCAGCTCATAAATCAGTTCACTTGAACACACGGCCTCCAAAATGGACTATTAGGGCATTCACTTTTTGAGATTCACACACATCTTCACACCCTCTTTTTGCAGACTGAAGCAAAACACTCTGGTACTGATAACTTCACATTGGTAAAAAGGTTAGACCATGAAACAACTGTAACAACTGTGACATTTGTTGACTTGTATTTAGTTTTCCTTTGTCAAGTGTTGCGCCCAAAATTCATTCTATAAACAATTCGCCAAGCATCAATTATAGGCCAGGAACTGTCCCAAATACTTGCGATACAACGGTTAACAAAATAAAAATGGCTGGCCTCATGGAGCTTACATGTGTAATATACCTCTAAAAGTCTGAAATTGTTCAACCTACCCATTCCATTCGTCCACAGTTCTCTTCCCTTGAGTAGTGAGTTGGTATGTTCCTCCCTCCCATCCTGTAATGTATATTATTCCTAATGCTCTCCAAAGTTTGCCAGCTGTTTAACTTTCAAAACTACTAAATATTCATAATGTAGTCTTAATTCACTGTTGGTGAATGAATCCTACTGGAGATCATGTATTCCAGTAGGAATAAATACCAAAACGTTCTTTCAGTGAGCATTAACTAGCAGTTCCTACATTTATGATTTTATGATTTTCTATGAATTTTATTTTTTTGATAAGAATTTGTGAGATAAATTTGTACATTAAAGTATTATTGGCTTACTGCTGAGTTTTATACAGATACCTTTTTACCTCTTAAACTCTCTTACAAAAATCTTTTCTTCTGAGAGGGAGCAACCTCAGAGTTGCTTTGAACACTTGTTTAGTTCTGACGAAACAGAAACTGCACAACCTTTCTGCCTAATTTAGCAGTATCATGTTCAGGAAGTTGTAGGATTAACTAAGTCAGTCTAAACTTTAAAAGACCCTGTCCTCATCAACTGAGATTTCTACAATTTGTGGTTAACATTTTCGTTGTCCTGATAACCACTCCGACTCTCAGACAAAATCCCATAGGGACAAAGAAGAAAGTGCCAAAACAGACCACATGAAAGTGGTCCCAATTTCCTTCCCTTCAGATTTCACCTGCATTTCCCATGGTATGGAACTGCTGTGCCATACTTCCTCTCTTCTCTCCTCTGCCTCTGACTCAGACAGTTTTGGTTTTAATTCCCTTTCTGATTCCTATCAATCCACTTTAAAAACGCACATCTCAATTCTAGAATTTTTCCTCCCCTCATAGGAAATTCGAACCAGAAATTTAACCTAAGACATTCAAGCCTTTTATGAAACAAAGTATAGATCACGTTCTTGCACTTACAATCACATAAAATACTTGATATATAAAAATATTTTAACACCAGTAGTAAATATAGATATCACATTTATGGATGTAAATCATCACAAAAAATAATTTTGCATAGTACTATTAGTTTTTGTTCCCTGTGAAAAATAAACCACAGAAACAAACATATTGGTTAAATACTTTACTGTCATTTATTTTTATTTTTTTTATTTATTTATTTTTTTTGAGACGGAGTCTCGCTCTGTCGCCCAGGCTGGAGTGCAGTGGCCGGATCTCAGCTCACTGCAAACTCTGCCTCCCGGGTTTAAGCCATTCTCCTGCCTCAGCCTCCTGAGTAGCTGGGACTACAGACACCCGCCACCTCGCCCGGCTAGTTTTTTGTATTTTTAGTAGAGACGGGGTTTCACTGTGTTAGCCAGGATGGTCTCGATCTCCTGACCTCGTGATCCACCCGTCTCGGCCTCCCAAAGTGCTGGGATTACAGGCTTGAGCCACCGCGCCCGGCCTTTACTGTCATTTAATGGAAAGAAAAAGCTATTTCTGATGTCTGAGACAAGGAAAAAAATTCCTATAGTGCTCCCAATTTTAAAAGAAATCATTCTAGTCTTTTGAATTTAATAATTAAATAGCAGAACTGAATTTTCAGAGTTTATGTAAGAAACAAGGGACACTAGACTCTTTTTGTTCACTATTTTTATTGGCTATGAAGCAATAAACTGCACCAGTATTTTTTAAAGTTTACTTTACTGATTGCTTGAAATACGGTAGCCATTAAAGTTTCTAAAACATTTGGGGTTTTGCTCTCAATTTATGCACATCTATAGATTATTCAGCCAAGAATACTACCAGTGTCTGGAATGTTAGTTACTGGGGCCAAGTCTTACCATAAAAGTAAGGACAACTATCCCCCACTTGGGGCAGTTTCTATGGGATTTGTTCAAGTGTCAACACCATTCAAGTAAAACATCGTAGAGGAAGCTGGTACCCAATTTCTGGCCAAACAGCAGACTTGGGCCTTTCTTCCTCAGCCAGAAACACTATGCACAGTACTTCTGGGAAACCAAACTGACTTCCTTTAAGTTATATTTCAACAGGATAGAGCTTTCAAAAGTTTAATTGGATTTTTACAGAATCTCTTTCCAATACCACCAATTTAAAATATTTAGTTAAGCTCTTTCAACATCAACTGTATTTTTAAGTTCTCATGCTGTTAATGTGAAACTTTCCAAAGGCAAAAAGAAAAAAGTGACAAGTTTGTACAGCACAGAAAACAAGCTCCAACTTTATCTCAAAGTATGTGTTTTCTCATTCTGTTTTTAAATTACAGGAGTATTTTGCTAGAATCTCTAATCTTTGAAAACTATGTTCAAGTTAAACATACATACTATCCATGCTGATAAAGTCATTAACATACTTTACAAAAATGTTAAGCAGAAACATTACCAGCAAAAAGAAAAGGGAGCAGGCACCAGCAGCCATGGAGCACATACTCCAGAGCGAGGTGCTTCTCATTCTCTCGCTTCCTCACAATAACCCCGTGAGTTAGAAGCAAAACGATGAGCTCCACATTAAGAATCCCGGTCTGCCACTTTTCCTTAATGTCCCACTTAAATCTTCCATTAGCAAACACTAATACACTCTCTTTGAATGATTTAAGGAACACATACACATTGTTCAAATTTATTTCCATATTCTAAAGCCACTTGTGAAGGTCAGCCAAGGAATGGCTTAATGGAATCACAGCAGGCCTTGCACCCCAGATGATCTGAAACACAGGGCACAACTTGGCAGAGCCAGCCTCTGTGGGACCTGCGGGGTCCTGAGCACTGTTCAGTCAGGTATTGGCAATTCCCAGGTATCACCTAACACCTAACAATAGCTCCTTTCCCCCAGGGTAACTGAATTTCAGTGGGTTAGTGGAACATGTTTGTAAGCCATTTTAAAAATCCTCAGCAAGAAACTGAAAATCGTCTTTTTTTTCCCCCCTCTGAACAGATTTTTAAATGACTTCTGAATCACAATGGAATGGGAAGTTTCTCTGCTCTGCTGAACACATTCAATAGACTCAAACCAAGGCCTTACCCTAAAATGTTCTACATAGATTCTTCTAACGAAAGAACAAAAATCACTGATGGAAATATTTATCTTAAAAGTTATTTTAGATAATTTTTTTTAAGTTTATTGTAGCAAATTTGCACATCGGTTTCCTTTCTGGTGACTGAAAGACAACTCAATCAATAAAAACTAAAATACCATGAGAATTAAAGTCACTGTTTATTAGTGAAGGTGTAACTTGTACTAAATGCCTTGCAAAACACAAATAAGACTTAGTTTCTGGCCTCAAAGAACTTAAAAATCTGTATCTTGTTCTGGGAACCTAAACAATGTAAACTTTTAAAGTAGAATAAATTATTTCAACCTAATCTAAACTCTTAGAACTTAAGAGTCCTTGAAGCTCAAAATGAGCTCTTATTTCAAGAGAAAAATATTTTCATGCAATTCAATAATAATTAGATTTTTCCCATCATTTGAGACTTACGAAATTTAGTCTCTGAAACAGGCTATTAGATTTGCTTCTAAAAACCAAAAGGGAAAAAAATAGGAAACACTTATTAAAGAAATTCATAGGAGAATGATTTAGATATCTAAGAAAAGAGATAAAGTAGGATGATTTTAGCTCACTAATTCATATTTTTATATCTATGCCGGTAATTTTCCATCCAAACACCTTCTATTAAAACTCATTGTCACAGATTTCCTATACTTGGAACAGAAGGCCCATATCAAAGATTAGTATGATTAGCATTTGTAAATGCATCTAATTATTTACCAGATAACACCATCAATATTGTGCCCATTCAACCTAGGGAAGCTGATTGCCAAAAAACGAAAAACCAAAAAAAAAAAAAAAAAAACAATGAAAGAGGAATTCCTTTCCTTTTCTCCTCAATTCATGTTTATCACTTTCTTTAAAGTCCGATACCTCACCCCTTCTAGAAAGCCTCTGAACAGGCCAGGAGAAATCATTTCACTTTTCTGTATCCCCATCACTTAAATTTCTGTTGAGCTATCGATTTGCACCTGCACATATACTGCTTTAGGAAGGCTTCGAATACTTGTATTTTGCCTCCTTAACCAGCTTTTAAAGT